TGCAAAAAACAACCTCTTACATCAGTTTACAAAGATTGCTTAATTGAATTTTATGTATTTTTACACAATAAAATTTTAAAGTTAAAAGTTGTTTTATTTTTTGTCTAACATATATTTCTTGGGAGCTCCTTCTAAAGAAAACTTCATGTCTTTGAGTAGTTAGAACTAGCTATCCTCACTAGCCCCACAATCCACCCCCATCACTACCAGCAACAGAAATCTAGTTCTCAGTAGCTGCAGATACTACCATAGCTGTGATGTGACAAACACGGTAGAGGTTTTTCTGTTTTTAAAAAGGTAATCGTATGTTTATTAAATCATTAATCAATTAATCATAGAGAGAAAGATTAGAGAATTGATTTAGCAGAGTTTGCAATAATGCTAAAGAAATACTCATCAAGTATACATAATACAGCAAGACATAAAAGGCCTTCTATAAAGAGCTATAAACAGGATATATAGCTCTGTATTATCAATTTTTAAGGATTGTATTTTCTGACCATAATTCTGGGTACCTGTATATGCAAAATAATGCGGTTTTAGTTTGCTCTTTAGGAATTTAATAAAGCAGTGTTTTAGTAAAGGATAAAGATGGCATTTCTTCCAAACACCAAATCATTGAACGAAGGACATTTTGGTAATAATGGATTAAATTACATAGAGAGTCAATTGTTTAGTTAATAGATCAATGTTATCATTTTGAAATAAATTATCAATATAATTATTTCCTTCTATACATCCTAGTTGAAAAACCAACAAAAAACACCTCTATTTTATTATAGAGTTGGATAGCTAGTAAAATTCTATTTTTCTAAAAATAATATCCTCAGAATATTATTCCATTTTTCCACAAAAATATTAACACTGAAAGATAATGAAATCATGTTTCTATATTACAGAGGCAATAAAGGCAATAGAGGAGGTGGAGGTATAGGAATGAAAAAAATAAGCATATTGTTCTTTTTTAAACTTGAGCTTCTACTTAGAGAGACTTTGAATGATGGTCGAAATATATGTGACCCTTTCTGTATGCAATTATGGTGTTAATACAATTTCTTTTCTACT